AATTCTTTAAAAAAAGGTACAAGACTTTTTCAAATATCAGTTTTCTCATCTCTCAAATCAAGGAGCTGGTTAAATGGTCTCAGAGTCCCTTTGTAGGCCTGAACTGCTACAAATTGTTAGAAAACCATTTTTTACATGAAAACTTGGAATACACTATGAGAAGTTCCCTAGTGGCTTGAACGTGTTTTTGTGTTGATAAAAATGCACAGTCCGAAGGCACTCACATTATTCAAGTTTTATTTCTCTGGTCATTATAGTGGAAGATAATTTCCAATCTCCTGAGAACATGTCTCCTAGCTAGACAATCAGAGATTTTTTTTCCCTCCTATCCGGCTACCCGAGAGGGCGAGTAACTTCATGTATGGTGCACTCTGTAGCTCACCACGATCTACTTTTGTTCACATGTTGGCAGTATCTGTATTTTCTAATAAAATGAGTTGCATCTGTTTTCAATTTGATTTTTCTTAAAGTGGATTAAAAACAGTGATTTGAAACTCTTGACAGAAGTCTGCATTATGTCTTGCCCAACAAGTAATATTATGATACAGAGTAATCCCTTTGTGAAAACCTCATAAATGTTGATGAATTGGAAATGGTATTAAGGGGAAACCAAAGCTTGCTTATATCCTGTACCATTTAAACACACTTGCCTTATGAAAGTGCAGCTAAATTAGGAAGGCTTCCATTTCCCTAAGAAAGCCGAAGACTTAGTGATTTTCATGTGTAGCTAGTGGGCAGCAGAACAGAGTTCCAGTAATATGATATATCATAATCTCTCTACATTGGGTTTGTAGGAAAGATATATTGAAGAGCCACTCAGAGATATACTGTAATTTAATGACGGATGTATATAGAAAATGACTTCACTTTCATTTCTGCTTAATGCTATTATATTTCCTTAGTAAACCTGACATGCCATACAATTCTTGGTGGTACATGCTTTCTAACCCTGTTTCTTCTTTTTTAACTGAGAATTATTTATGAGCACATTCTGAGTCTTGCCCTTAAGAAAAATGTTCTGTCCATATCCAATTTCTCTCGGTCTTTTGCCCTCATGAGTTTCTATATTGGACATTATCATCAACTTTATTTATTACTAGTTATATTTATCAAATGCTTTCTCAGACCCTAAGTCAGCCTTTTTTATTTTCTTGCGTTATTCAGACCCTTAATAGCGATAGTCTGTGTTAAATTACAAATGTCAACGCTGACTATTAAAATATGTGTCCTAATGATGGTCAAATGTTAGTTATGATCAGTTACTCTCTGTAGCCATGTGGACAGATTCAGTGAGCAGAACAATCTCTATCTTTCGGTACAAACATCACAGATCACTTAGAACTCATTTCTCTGATAATGCCATCTGCATCTTTAGATAATTGTGTGGACATAGGCTTTATTTCATTTGTAAAAATTCTAGTGTTTTGTGAGGTTAAACTTTGAGGGAATATATAATCTGTTTTATGGGTTGATTATCTGTTATAAATTCTGCTTTTGTACTCAATTCGTCTAGGATATCATTATGCATTTTTCTTTGTCAAATGCTACTTTCAGGGACTAGCAGATGAAATAGAAGTGGTTATGTAGCTGGACTCACACATAGCCAACTGTGGTTTGAGTCTTGGGCCCGGTAGCTTGAAACTCACACTAGGCACAAGTGCATGCATGCCCAAGATCCCACGAGGTAGATGGATAGATGGATAGATGGATGGATGGATGGATGGATCCCATGGGGAAGGGATTGTGGTGTGGCCATCCCCCTGTGGGGGATGTTTTCTCATTTTCCCTCTCACTGTCTTTTTCTCTGGTGAGCTCACATGCCCTAAGGCAAAAACCTCTACTGAAAAGAACAGAACAGAACAAAACAAAACAAAAAAAACACTTTCAGTGTATCACTCCATTACTTAAAGCTATTCAGAATCTTTCACTGGGGTCGTAGACTGACTTTATGGCCATCCCTTGTCTGATCTGACTGCAGCTTCCTACCTCATCTTCTGCTTCTCTTTTATCTGAACATTTCATTGTAGACAAATGGAGTCACACATGTTCCAACATACTGGAGTGCTTTTGTCTCTGTGTGTTTTTTCAGATCCTTCCTTCTTCCTGGTAGGAATTTGCCTCCTTTCTCATTTACGGACATCTTTTCAGTGATTCATAGCGAGATTGTTTTACTTAACTATGAAGCCATTCTAGAGACATTTAACTAAGGGAAAGAAGGGAATTTGGTTGGAGGGAGAAGAAACTAATGTTGAATACTATATGAAAGTATGGTAATGACTCTTTACATATATCCTTTCAACAATATTTTTAAAACATTTTTTCCCATAGGGTGCGTATGCTTGCTGGAGAGAACAGAAAGAGAGGGAGAGTGAGAAATTAACCCCCCAAGAGGCTTGGACACACTGTAGTCACTTATCCTCCATTCTCCTCTTGAGATTTTGAGCACACATGCACATGTGCCTGGTGTGATTTTCAAGCAGCAGGGTCTGGGGTTTGAACCGCAGTTGGCCATGTGAGATTTCAATGCCTTAACCGCTATGTACCTGCTGGCCCCAACATTTTCTGGTTTTGGAACATCCAACACATTCCTTTATTTAAGGAAAGCATCATTATTATCATTATGACGAACTTAATTGACACTGGTACTTATTCCACCTTTATCATGTGTAGAACACACCACTTAGTTTTGGATGGACAGGTAGTCTCTGACTTATACGATTCGACTTATGATTTTTTTTCGGAGAGATTTTGCTATAGGGCTTGTGTACTCAACAGAGAGGCAGAGACAGACAGAAATAGAAAAATCACACTCCAGGGAGCATGAGGATGGCCACACCACAATTTCTTCTCTATTCTCTTCTTGGGATTTTGGGCATGCACGCACATGTGCTTGGTGTGAATTTTAAGCTGCCAAGTCCAGACTCTAACCATGACTGACCATGTGGGAGTCCAATGCCTTGACCACTACGCTACCTGCTGGTCCCCGACTTACGATTATTTCTAACATTACAATGGTGCAAAGGTGATACCCATCGGGAAGACACTGTACTCCAAGCACTCATATAACCATTTTGCTTTCACTTTTAGTACAGATTTCAATAAACATGAGATAGTCAACATTTTATTATAAAATAGGTTCTGCATTAGATTATTTTGTCCAATTGTAGGCTAATGTAAGTGTTTTAAGCATATTTATGGTATGCTGAGCGATCATGTTGGAAAGGTTAGGTGTTAAATGTATTTTCGTCTTCAATACTTTAAACTTACGATGGGCTTATCAGGGCGTGGTCCCGTTGTAAGTCAGAGAACATCTGTGTGAAGAACCAGGAGATGTGGTTTCTGACCCTGAAACAAAGGTAGAAAGAGTTATGGAAAATAAATAATATATAATAAATGCAAAAAATAAAAATGTACTGTAGTAGTTCAGAGAACAGATACCAAATACCAGCTAAAAATATACTCTTCAATACTTAGTATCTGGACTAGTACCTTCAACAATAAATATATATTGTACCTTGAACATAATCGCTGTACATTGTTAATTATGTGACAGTGTCTTAGCTGCTACCCTTACTCTTGAAAGGAAAAAAAGAAAAAGAAAAGAAAAGGATCCTTTTCATAGTAAATAAATATTTGCATAACATTTATTGCTTGATTACTTGATGTGTAACTTCTGCCCCTCTATTGAAATTTGCAAATGTTTCTTTTTAAAAGCTTAGTATCTAGGTCCGCTCAGTGTTTTATGTTTAGTAACAAGAGAACTTACTCATGATGATATATAGTCTTGAAGGATACACGAACCACACCAAGATAACGTGGATTAAAGATTATCATTACCTAGAACAAATCATAGTAAGGTCAGTAAGCTAAACTTGTCTAGACATATATTATTTGTCCAGTGGAGAAGTCTTTGCTGTTGCAAAACACTTCTGTGAATTGGAAGTTTTCCTGCTTACAGTGAGGTATTAATATCCTTCTAGAAGGGGCCAGAAGGTGGTGCAGGAGTAAAACGCAACACTGTGAGGCAGTTCCACACAGGAAGGCCCACGGTCCAGGTCCAGAGACCTCCCCGTGTACCTTGGGCAGGCATGTGCCCAGACCTAGGGCTGCCGCTTCCACATGGGAAGGTCTGGTCCCACGTGGGAAGGTCCACGGTTCGGGTCCAGAGACCTCCCTGTGTACCCTGGGCAGGCATGTGCCCAGATCCCGGGCTGCCTAAGGGAGGGTGTGGGTCACGGTATTGAGACCCTGTTGTGGATGTTCTCTCTCCTGTCTCATGGGTGAAATAAATAAATAAACCTAAAAATATTTATAAACCAATTTCTTAGTATTTTCCTAAAGACTGTTTTTCAGGAACATACTACTTAAATTGGTTCTAACCTACTTTTTTGATTCTCTTGAAGTACAATAGTTACTTTAATACTCATTGATTTTATCATAAGAGTGACTACTTTGTTGATCTTTAACTATTTTTCAATAATTAATATACTATTGTATACTATATTAAATATACTATCTATAATTACACTATACTGTGAAACAAAATCAGTATACCCAATATACTCACATGGCATTCGATGATTTGGTAAGTTTTATAAATTGTGTCTGGAAGTAAATAAATTCTGGAACTAAAGAATAGAGGGAAAGGGAGTCTCAGACTACCGACACTAATTTTTTCTTACAGGTTCTTTCCATTTCCTTTGAGACTCTGAAAATGATCTATAATAGCTCTTTGTGTTCCACTTCACTGGTTTGTGACTATTGTGGTCTCATTTTGAATGTATTATTCCAAGCCAGAAAACTTGCAATTAGAACCTGCATTCTGTTCTGAATCTTTGGTAGCTAGAGGTGGGAAAAGTTGCATCTTCAGTAATGACTGAAATAAACTTCAGCCCGTTGAGGAACTGCCAAGTCACGTGATTCAGCACGGCACCAACCAGCTGCTGTATAAACCGGAAATACTTTCTGATGTCACTCACACTTCTGTTTTTATCTTCTAGGTGTTAAAATGGGTAGAAGAAGCAGTGCAGGCCTCTAAAGTGCACCTCCTATCCACAGATCACTTGGAACAGGCTGTAAATACTTGGAGAATTCCTTTTGATCCCAGCTTGAAAGAAGTCACTGTGTCTCTGAGTGGCCCTTCTCCAGTGATTGAAATTCGTGATCCTTTGGGTGAGCTATATGAACCATCACATAATAAAATACCAAAACCATGGAGGGTAGAAGACTTTTTGCACACTTATTTAATATCAAATTAATGCTAACTTTACGAATAAATTCAGTAAATTCAGAAATGGGTTAGGAAGATATTTTAAAAAAAACTTTTTTTAGATCTAAATATAGTTGGAGACCAGTAGTTGGCATAATGGCTATGTTGCTGGACTCCCATGTAGTTGACCGTGGTTCGAGTCCCAGACCCGGTGGCTTAAAACTCACACTGGGCACATGTGCGTGCATGCCCTAGATCCCAAGAGGAGAATGGAGGAGAAGGGATTGTGGCATGGCCATCCTCCCTGGGGGGATGATTTCTCACTTTCTGTCTCTCTGTCTCTGTCTTTATGATGAGCACATGTGCCCTACAGCAAAAACCTCTCCCCCCCAAAAAAAGAGATCTAAATATACTTAAATTAACATGAAATTTAAAAAGCTAATACTCCTAATATTTAAACAGATCAAATCAGTAAGTTAATTGCCATGAAATTATCTTAAAGAAAAAGATTGTAATTAAACTGGAAATTATATTTTCTTAATGCATATATCAGGAGGTATTTCACAGTTAACTTACTCTGCAAAATTCAATATTTTATGCAACTTTTAAATGAATCACACCAGAAAACTCCTTCTAAAACAAATTTTTCTCTGTGTCATTTTTTCCATAAGGTTTAATTTTATAGAACGCAGTTTTCAATAATCAGATTTGTATTTTTAGCAGAGAATTGTTCTAATTTACCTTGCCTCCTCAATTATTTTTTATAGATGTGGGAGTTGCCTGATTCCATTTATAATTCCAGTAAGACTTACATTGAAAAGCAATCATATGAAGACATATTTCCTTTTCCTTAACATCCACATTTAGAAATATTTTTACCTACTAATATTTGTAAATAGTTTTACTTTCACTGTAGCTTTAGTATATATCACATATTTTTCTCTATTTTGAATATTTGTAAATAGGGCAAGAAATAGCTAGCTTTCTTATTTTCTTCGAGTCTTAGAAAAAATTAATTCCTCAAAGACAATAGCATTGAAATTGTCCTCAGAGGGGCCAGCAGGTGGTGTGGTGGTTAAGGCACTGAATGGCCCACATGGCCGACCACGGTTTGAGTCCCTGACCGGGTGGCTTGAAAATCACACTGGGTGTGTGTGCGTGCACACCCAAAAGGAGGAGACTGGAGAAGAGGGGATCGCAGCATGGCCACCCCCTTCAGGGGATGATTTTTCACTTTCCCTGTCTCCGTCTCTCTCTGGCTCTCTTTGGTGAATGCGCATACCCTATGGCAAAAAACCTTTAAAAAATAATAATACAAAAAGAAATTGTCCTCAAAGTTCACATCCACATTTGTAAATATGCAGAAATTTTCCCAATAAATGGAACTTCTTTTTCAAGGCTTCTAGAAGTCTGGCCGTCTAAATGGATTTGTTTGTTGAGGTAACGTTCCACTCTAATGCCATCCATGCTACACAGGAAACACTTGAGCTGTTCTCCTCTTGGATACTTCAAAGTACCTGCCCCCATTTCAATGTGTTTTTACTGCTTTAAGAAGGCATTGGGGGGACCAGCAGTTAGCGTAATGGCTATGTCGCTGGACTCCCATGTAGTCGACCACGGGTCAAGTCCTGGACCCGGTGGCTTAAAACTCACACCGGGCACATGTGCATGCGCGCCCAAGATCCCAAGAGGAGAATGGAGGAGAAGGGATTGCAGCATGGTCTTTCCCCCCGGGGGGTGATTTCTCGCTTTCTGTCTCTCTGTCTCTCTCTGTCTGGCGAGCGCACGCGCCCTGTAGCTAAAAAAACTCTCATAAAAAAGAAGGTATTAGGCAGGGACTGGCCGATGGTGTAATGGTTACGTTACTGGACTCTCACATAGTCAATTGTGATTTGAGTCCTGGATCTGCTGGCTTAAAACTCATGCCAGGTGTGTGTGCATGCATGCCTAAAATCCTGAGAGGAGAACAAAGGAGAAGGGGTTGTGGTATGATCAGGCTCGTGGAGAGGTGATTTCTTGCTTTCTGTCTCTCAGTCTCTCTCTGTCTCTTCCACGAGCACACACTCCCTCTAGCAAAATCCTCTAAAAGAAAAAAAGGCATCGGGCATACAATAATTGCAAAACTTTTGATGAAAACATAGAATGCTTATAACTGCACAAGTAGCCTTATAATGAAGCAAGTGGCTAATCTGGGGCTTAATACTGAATTTGCTTTTCTTCCTTAGTTTCAACTATTAGATGCTTTAGATAAGTCTACTCAGAAGGGGACGGTATCACGCTACTTCATTACACGGCCTTCTTTAACTATTTCTATGACAGATAAAAGCTTTCTCCTGCGCCTCATGGAAAACTAGTTAAGGTTTTACACTTTGTGCAAAGAAATGATGGGTTCTTGCATTAGCAATACCTTGCATGATCTCCAAAAGACGTCTGCCCTGGTTTGCTGTGTTTGCCATCTATTTCATCTACGTATCTTTAGTGCCCACACAGAACTTGCTAGCCATAGTAATTGTTATCTAGGCTGGCTTTGGAAATTTGATAAAAGTGTGCCAGGTGGTATTCTCATTTTATAGTCCAATCAGCATAAGAAACAAGAACCTGTCACTTCAGTTCCAATGCCTGGAAACCCTAAAATTACATATATTTTTAAGATAAGTAAAATCATATTTTGAGTTATGGGCACAAATGTCCATCAAGAAAATGTACTGGCAACGGGCTACTCTGCATTTTAGCCGACAAGGGAGATAAAGGCAGTTTGCTGCACATGTCAGTAAAAGGTCTCTGTGTTATTTGACACCTGATGATCCTCTTAGCGTTGTGTAGTGCTAAATTAGCTAGTATACACAGCTGAGAGGAAGACCGTGCTTATTACCTTCATGTTTGTCTTTCAGGGAAGCTGATAAAAAAGGGATTTGGCCTGAATGAGCTATTAAATATCCATAACTCTGCCAAAGTGGTGAATGTGAAAGAGCCAGAGGCTGGAATGTGGACGGTGAAGGTACTGTGCTTTCAGTCGGTTTATTATTTTATTTTGCTATTGGCATGTTTTATAAAACATATGCAATAGTTTAGATCTACTCTTGCTTTAATTAAAAAAAATACATATATGGTGCATTGTAGGAGGCATCTTGATCTCATGAATTTGCTAGAGTTAAGTTTTGAGGGTCATTAATGTTATGGATGCCACACAAGACACTTACAATGCTCAGGTAGTTTTCCTATTCTCAAGTCTTTAGACTGATATTTTGTTTTTGTTTTAGATTTTGTTGTAGGGTGTGTGCACATGCCAGAGAGAGGGAGAAAGAGACAGAAAGTGAGAAAATCACTCCCCCAGAAGGGTTGGCCACACCACAGTCCTTTTTTCCATGCTCCTCTTGGGATTTTGAGCACATGTGTGCATGTGCAGGTGTATTTTTCAAGTCATGGAGTGTGGAGTGAGCCAAGTGAGACCCAGCCACCTTACTTGCCACACCACTGACCGGCCCTAGATTGATTCCTCCCCCCCTGCATCCTGCTTCTAAAATATGCAGAGAGAGAGGCAGTAGAGAATAATGAGTAGGGTCATAGATTCTGGTGCAGAACCATCTGAGTTTGAATCTTAACACTTAACAGCTGTACTGTCTTGGAAACAAAACTTCTCTGGACCTTTCTTTCTTCCTCTGTAATATGGAACTGGCACCAATAGCCCTATTCTTTGTAGAATTGGGCTGAGAGTTAAATTAAGATGATGCACACGAAATACATAGCACAGCTTCTGTTACGGAGCAGCACTCAGATTCCACTGGCTGTTGTACTCTGGGGGACCGTATTTTCTTTAATATCAAGTGGTATTTGTATCCTGGGATTATCTTAATGATTATGTATATATAAAAACACATACATATATCAATAAACTCTTTAAGAAAGCACCATATTTTGTCAGTATTAAAAGAAATAAAACAGCCGATTTAATTGAGTAGAGGGTTCTTTTTTTTGGAGAGGTTTTTTGCTATAGGGCGCGCATGCTCGCCAGAAAGACAGAGAGAGACAGAGAGACAGAAAGCAAGAAATCACTCCCCGGGGAGGATGGCCACGCCGCAACCCCTTCTCCTCCGTTCTCCTCTAGGGATCTTCGACACACATGCACACATGCCCAGCGTGAGTTTTAAGCCACCGGGTCCGGGACTCGAACCGTGGTCGACTACGTGGGAGTCCAGCAACATAGCCATTACACTAACTGCTGGTCCCTTGAGTAGAGTTTTAATTGAGCACATCTTAACACAATTCAAATTGGGCAGCTGTCCCTGACCAACTTTCGGACAGTTCCATGTAGCCTTGTGGTCACGTGGAATTAAAGTTCCAGAAAAGCCAAGTGATGTGTACAGGAAGGGGGAAGTGAAGGGATGAGGTAGGGAAACTATTTGGGTTGGTTCCATTCCTGTGACTGACTGAAGCCTAGCTGCTATGATTGGCTGTTCCCTAACAAGAAAGAAAAAGATGAGGTAGCAGTTTATGAACACCAAGTGGGAGTATGGAGGCTTTTATAATATTTTTTAAACATCAGTACAGAGGAAAGAAATTTGCTTGGAATCCTGGATACTGTTAATCAGAGCTCTAGTTCTGCTGAAGATGGTGTGTGCCCCACTGTAGTAGATATTCCCAGTGACTGGCCGGTATTCCCTAGACTGTCAGGGTAATCTGCTCATCTTCCAGCTCCAGTACCTGCATTTCTGTGTCTGAGAATTTCACAGAACAGGAGGCTGTCCTGCCTGGGAAGTAATACCCCCCCCACCCCCCCGGAGTAGCAGCTTTCAGCCCCTGAAGGCATAAACTCCAGGTGCCCACTGTGGAAACAGCCTTAAAAGCACAGCCTTCATTGGCCTGGTCCCTTGCCTGCATCATTTCCCCTTTCCTATCAGCATCCTTTGCTTCTCCCAAATAGAAAAATTGCTCTAGGATCTTCCAGGGAAAGCAAAAATGAAGATACTCCAGGAATTATGTACTCTTTCATTGTCTCATCGTTCAGCTGAGATGCTTACCTACATAAAACAAATGGGAATAATTGGACCAGGATTTAAATTATGGAATTGCTGCAGAAGTCTGTGAAGATGAGATGCCATAGAAATTAGACATGTCATTTTGGCATATCAGTCATTTTATTTATTTCATTAATTTTTTGAGAGAGTTTTGCTATAGGGTGTGTGTGCTTGTTGGATAGACAGAGAGATACAGAGAGACAGAAAGTGAGAAATTACTCCTCCCCCAGGAGGATGGTCACACTACATACTCTCCTCTTCCATTCTCCCGTCAGGATTTTGGGAACGCACGCATGCACACACGCACACATGCCCAGTGTGAGTTTTAAGTTGCCGGGTCTCGTACTCGAACCACTGTCAACTACATGGGAGTCTAACAATGTAACCATTATGTCATCTGCTGGTCCCAGTCATTTTATTTTTTAAAGAGCATCTACATTAATTTTCCTAGTTGAAAGAATGGAAGTTTATATTGTACCTCCTTTCAAATCCTAAAATACCAGTCCTTTATTCTCAAAACTCTAAACCCTGTTTCTCGGGAGAAGAGAAGCTGTGATATGAATTTTTTGTTTTGGTTTGGGTTGTTATTTTGAGGTAGATAACATGGGATAAGAGCATATGTGAAAAGGCGGTGTAAAAGAAAATCAGATAATTTCTTTACAAAATGAACTAGAAATGGTCCTATATGCCTGTTGCATTCTCTCAGTTCATTGCACGTAGCAGGTGCTAAATATTTATTGAGCACATTGGATTGGCACCAGTAAAATGTTTTTGCTGCTATACTTTCTTCTTCTTCTTCCTCCTCTTCCTCCTCCTCCTCCTCCTCCTCCTCCTCCTCCTCCTCCTCTTCTTCTTCTTCTTCTTCTTCTTCTTCTTTTTTCCACTGCCAGAGAGACAAGAAAAGGGAGAAAGTGCTCCCCAGTGGGATACGGTCATAAGTCTGCAGGGCTGACCCCCTGCTCTAATAGCTTAAATAAATGCAGCCAAATTTAATATTACAACTCTTTTGATCAAGTTGCCCAAAATATGACTAGCGTTGTGCCCGAGTTCCTGTAGCCATTGTAGGATGGAATATAAGATGTAGTGAATTTCATCAGCCCACAATACTTTAATTTAAGCATGGCCGAAGCCAGCGGCATCCTGAGTTAGCAAGTCCACTGAAGTCATTGGTTTTCAGTTGTCAAAGAGTGACATGATGTTATTCTCTAGCAACTGAAATACGTGCAAGCGATGCCTTTCTTCCCCCTCACCAGCAAGCTATTACCTGAACCTGGTCCCACATGATCTGGATTGCTAACGGTGGTATTTCCTCTAGTGAAACTCTTGCTTTGAGGAGGGACACTGCATGATGGTTATTTAGGTGATGCCAAATGTGCCTATTCATTCAGCCATTCATTCAGTAAACATTTGCTGAGTATCTTGGCCATGTTCCTTCCTACTTACTCAATGGGCACAAAGCACATCTTATTGTAAGTGATAATTAAGACAGAGAGGTACCAAGGATCAGTCTGCGAGTGAAGAGAGCTATGATAGGTGATGAGAACTCTGTTTAGGTGAGTCTCTGTGCTCAGTCTCCAATAATTAGGGGAGCAATAAAAAGACATAGCATCTGTTACTGTATCATATCATGTTATATGCATACTAGTTTTTACCAAAAGAGTCTCCACTTCTGATTTACACCATTTCTTGTGTATGATTAATGATAACAACTATATGAAGAATAAGCATTATAATACAATTTAAAAATAATAAACTTATGAGGCCAGCATGTGTTGTAGTGGTTATGGTGCTGGACTCCCACATGGCTAAGTGGGAATTCAAGTCCTGGACCCAGAGGCTTGAAAATCATGCTGGGCATCTTTGCGTACATGTGCAAAATCCCAAGAGGAGAATGGAGAATGGATTATGGCATGGTTATCACCCCTGGTGGGTGATTTTTCATTTTCTCTCTCTCTCTCTCTCTGTCTCTCTCTGTGTCTCCATCAGGAGCATGCACCTTATAGCAAAATATCTCTCTAAAAATAACAATAATAAATTTATATTCCTTGTATGTGAAACACCAAAAGAATCTATCAGTGGGTGCAAAGGAAATGAGTTGAATTTACTGACATAAATATCGCTGCTGACTTTGGATCTCTCTGTTGGATAGTTCATGAGTGATAAATGCATTACTTGTGTGCTTTCTCAAGAAGAGAAATGTCCAAGATTAGATAGTATATCCCTGGTGCTATCTCTCATGCACTCTGCTATCTGAAAAATGTTTGCTGTATCAGTAGAATTAATAATGGCTTTTTGAATGTTTCACATAACAGTTTTTATCCCAAGGATGGAGAACAGCCTATCTATTATTTGACCTCAGCATGGTATTCAAGGACCACCCCACTGAGCCTCGGCCAGACTTTCCAGTTATCTCCACTACTTGTCTCCACATGCTAGTAATACAAGTCTGTACTGCCTCTGTCCTCTGGGCCACATTGTCTTGCCCCGTACTTTCATTCGAGCTGTTCCTTTTCCTCAGAATGCCCTTCCCTTCAGCCTGACTTATAACTACCTACCCCTCAAGATTCATCTCAAAAGGCAACACTTGTGTTCAACCTTGTCAAATGTATTCCTCAAAATGTTCTCTTTCCCCTGGAAAAGATTTTCTTCAGCAATCTTCCTGCACCTCCTTTTTGGATTAATTTCTCCCTTATATCATTTTTACTTCTCCCTATTTTATGATAGAGTAGATGTGGTCATTGGTATATGCCGCCGTGCCTGAGAAAAAACTCTATAAATACTTATGAGTAAGAAAATGAAGGACTGACCCCAAAGGCTAGTGAGTATGGTAGCCAGATTCCATGTGGCCAACTGCAGTTCAAGTGACAGCTTCTTTTTTTTTTTTTTTCTTTATTTATTTTTGTGATTTCACTGATGAGTTCTTTACTGGGACACATGTGGACACCTTCTCTACACAAAGACAATAAATTGACTCATTTGTATA